AAATAGTCTATCAGAAATTAATCTTATTAACAGTGAAGTATATGATATCTTAATGAGTGTTAATACTGCGAAAGCAACCGGCCCCGACGGCATTGGAAATAGAATTCTTAAATTAATCGCTGTCAGTATTTCACCCCTTTTAACGGGACTTTTTAACCTATCACTTCAACAACGCGTATTCCCGGCAGTTTGGAAAGAAGCAGGCGTTATACCGATTCACAAAAAGGGAAGTGTAAATGATTGTACAAATTACAGACCAGTAGCCTTAACTAGTTGTGTATCTAAAATATTCAAACATGTTTTCAATTATCTCAGAGGCAATAACATCTTATCCAATTTACAGTCAGGTTTCATCCCAGGGGACTCTTGCGTGAATCAGTTGACATATTTGTATAATTTCATAGCCAAGGCAATGGAAGAAGGTAAGGAAATAAGTGCAGTATTTTGCGATATCAGCAAAGCTTTTGATCGATTATGACACAAAGGTCTCGTGCCTAAGTTAAAATCATGTATAATCGATGGTTCACTATTACAATGGTTTAAAAGTTATTTAGAATATCGATCCCAGCGTGTAGTAATAAATGGTTATAGTTGTAATATTAAACCTGATAAAAGCTTGCGTCCCGCAGGGTTCTGTTCTAGGACCACTTCTGTTTTTGGTCTACATAAATGATATTGTTGAAGGCATTGACAGTAATATACGATTATTTGCAGATGATACTTCTATCTATGTAATAATAGATGACCCTTACGTAGCGGCGTTTAGTCTGAATAATGATCTACTAAAAATAGCAAACTGGGCAAAAACAAACCTGGAAAATCGATTTCAACCCATCCAAAACTAAAACAGTCTTATTCAGTAGGAAATCAAATTCAAATCCTCATCCAAGCTTGTTTTTTAACGACGTTCGAATTGAAGAAACTTCGAGCCATAAACATTTAGGTATAACTCTTCAAAACGATTGTACATGGGATATACATATAAACGATATCGTTAAGAGAGTCAGCCCCATGATAAATTGCTTAAGAAGCCTTAAATATCGACTAACGTGAAACGCCCTCAATCGTATGTATACGTCCTTTTTTACTTCCGATCTTTGACTACTGTAGTTATATTTATGACAATTGTACCAAAACTCAAGCAACAATTTTGGAAACAAGCACTTAGACGCGTTATGTACGATATGTGGAGCTGTTCGCGGCACCAGTCACGATAAAATCTACGCTGAAACATCATCTGTTTCTCTTCGCGAAAGAAGAAGAATAGCTAAACTAATCACATTTTTCAAAATGTATCATAACAGATTACCCCACTATCTAAACGAACTCGTCCCTCCCTTCGTCTCTCAAGTTAAGAACTATCCGTTACGTAACGCATCGCATTTGCAAACTATTGCCCGCCGTACTGCTCTATATGACAATTCATTTCTACCGGACGCTGTAAGTTTATGGAATGCTTTACCGCAAAATATTAAATCTCTTACAGACATTCAATGATTTTAAATCTGCTTTAAGCCATAGAGCTAAAGACATTCATTTCGATCCAAATATAGGTTCAAGAGTTTGTCAAATCCTCCACTGTCGCTTAAGGTTAGGATGTAGCGATCTCAACGCTGACAAACACAACAGACATATATCAGAGAGAGCAGATTGTTTGTGTGGCCACCCTACTGAAGATGCCCGTCATTATTTCTTTGTATGTCCCAGATTTGATGCTGTAAGAATAAATAAATTTTATTATACTAATGGCTTTTCATTAGAAACAATCTTATACGGAACGTCTTCCATGGACCCACAAATTCAATCACATATCTTAAAATCAGTCCATCTATTTATAATTGAAACTAGGCGCTTTAACTGAGCAAGTCATACACTAAAACCTATAATTCTCAAAGCTATACTACTATGGATCCCGACTGCAGATGCCATGAATGTATACAACCATCATGATTTTAATTTTCCGACTACATGTCATACCATCTACTTTCATTTTAGATATCATCTTTTCTTGTCATGATACTGTTTCATATATCTATGTATATTGGAGCGGTCTTCATATAAGTTCTTTTGAGCTTGTTGACCAATCCAGTTCATGAAAATTCTGTCTTTGCTATTTCATGAAATAAATATGTTTAAACCAAATCAGCTTATTTTTGACTCTGTTCATAAATACATACTACTTTCAAATAGATTCAAATTATTCTAAACTCTTATGCATGCAATTACTATGAACCAATTAATGTAAATTTAGAGACTTTTTCCTGTTATTATGTATTTCATGCCTTTATGAAAATAATTGCTTCTGTACTTTGTTTGAAATTAATTATTGATTGTATGGTATTATATTCTATGGCTCGGCACTCATATAAGCCGTTGGCTTAATCTGCCAATCCATATTCATGTCCTGTTTATATTTTATGAATAAAATATGTTTATAACACATTCATTTTTGTATGGAATGTGAAATTTGACAGAAGTAGGGTGTATTCAGAAGCAGGGTGTATCCAGAAGTAGGGTGTATCCAGAAGTATGGTGTATCCAGAAGTAGGGTGTATCCAGAAGTAGGGTGTATCCAGAAGTAGGGTGTATCCAGAAGTAGGGTGTATCCAGAAGTAGGGTGTATTCAGAAGTAGGGTGTATCCAGAAGTGGGGTGTATTCAGAAGTAGGGTGTATCCAGAAGTAGGGTTCCAGAAGTAGGCTGTATTCAGAAGTAGGGTGTATCCAGAAGTAGGGTGTATCCAGAAGTAGGGTGTATTCAGAAGTAGGTGTATCCAGAAGTGGGGTGTATCCAGAAGTATCCAGAAGGTGTATCCAGAAGTAGTAGGGTATCCAGTGTATCCAGAAGTGGGGTGTATACAGAAGTGGGGTGTATCCAGAAGTAGGGTGTATTTAGAAGTAGGGTGTATTCAGAAGTAGGGTGTATCCAGAAGTGGGGTGTATCAAGAAGTAGGGAGTGTTCAGAAGTAGGGTGTATTCAGAAGTAGGGTGTATTCAGAAGTGGGGTGTATTCAGAAGTAGGGTGTATTCAGAAGTAGGGTGTATCCAGAAGTAGGGTGTATTCAGAAGTAGGGTGTATCCAGAAGTAGGGTGTATCCAGAAGTAGGGTGTATCCAGAAGTAGGGTTTATTCAGAAGTGGGGTGTATCCAGAAGTGGGGTGTATTCAGAAGTAGGGTGTATTCAAGTAGTATCCAGAAGTAGGGTGTATTCAGAAGTAGGGTGTATTCAGAAGTAGGGTGTATTCAGAAGTAGGGTGTATCCAGAAGTAGGGTGTATTCAGAAGTAGGGTGTATTCAGAAGTAGGGTGTATCCAGAAGTAGGGTGTATCCAAAAGTAGGGTGTATTCAGAAGTAGGGTGGTAGAGTGTAGGGTGTATTCAGAAGTAGGGTGTATTCAGAAGTAGGGTGTATCCAGAAGTAGGGTGTATCCAGAAGTAGGGTGTATCCAGAAGTAGGGTGTATCATTGTTTAGTAGGGTTATGAGCGTGTGTAGTGTTTGGTGTGTGCTTGTGTCCAGTGAACACCATTATGAGTACAGTATATAGTAGTTTGGCTGCAAAAGTTGTATGATCCCCAGGGAGTTGAGATTGCCGATTTGCCTTTGAGATTGACATCCATTGATCGAGGGAAAAATACCAGCGTCTTGAGCATGCACTAGTGCGTGGATATGTGCGCTACATAAATATCCAAAGTAGTGGTAGTATACAGTAGTATGTGGGATTTAATTGTGTATGTTCTGTAATGTCGTCTTCGTCATGTCTGTCATTTAGATCTCTTTTCTAGTTTTAGTTTCAGTGGCTTTTGGATTAGATGTTTATAATAGAATTTGAATTTTTGTGGTACTTTGCCAATTTTGGAAAATTCTTTGTTTTGATGGGCTTTTGATTTTGTTTTTAGATGGTACGTTTCAGTTAGCTGTGAGTTTTAGAACCGCTTTGGCTGCTTGAGCGGTGTTCTCCTACTATGCCAGTTTCACTGTCAAGCAATAAAGTTAATGCTGCAAGAAAGGGGATTAGTAGGAGATTAAAACTTAAGTCAGTTCAACACTTTACCAATATATTTTTTCTTACAAAATTTACAAAAAATATATGATTCATGTTATAGATAAAGTTACAGATATACAAAAATAAACAAATTATACATATATATAGTCATGTAATGTTTGTGTAACGTTTTCATCATTTTAAGCAGATGAGCAGTGTTGGTTGAGTTACAGATAAATAAATGATACACACGTAACTTATGATCTGTAATATCATTTTAATGAAATACAAACACAATACAAATATTTAACACCCCACTAAATGGAAGACATGCAGCATCCCCATTCTGGATGACGGTAGAAAGTTCATTTTGAAGGCACCGCTTTTCTTCTTTCTGGGTTTGATACAGGCACCAGCAGCAAGCTGTTTCGTTGTTTCTTCGAAACAGAACTGTTCCTGCTTTATAAAATTGATAATTGAAGCTGCAAATTGTGAACATTTATCATTGAGCTTGTTTTGCATGTAGTGAACACTGTTCATGGCTCACCACGCTCGACAATACCCCGGCCTTGCTAATTAGGGTGTTAATTATACAGATATATATTCGTTAACGGTGGCCGGATTAACTGCTGGCACAGTGGGAGTGAATCAGTTTAAATGCTCCAAGGCAACAGTTGATCAGCTTTACTGAAACAATAGCGTGTCATTTCAGCCATTTTATGTGGACCAAATTGGGAGAGTCATTCAACACTACAAACTGCCAGTTGGATGTTAGGTCAGCTGTAATAACATCAAATTAATGTGAAGTTTATCAATGCTCACAACAAGGCCGCCGGTGAGAGTACTTCTGTTATACACACTCTTCTAACCGGCTTAACAAGATTACAGAAACATGTCAATAACGGGTTTCCATAAACGTCCAATTAACGTCGATTCATGGTCTGCTCTGCTGGTGTCACAAACAGCTTTCCGTACTCGAAGCCGCTCCAACGTCTCGCGTGATTGACTCTCAGCCAGACCACGCCCAACGCTCACAGTACGACTGTTGTCGTTGGAGGGAGGACGGGTCATAGGTCATGACAGAACTCGAACGGGAAACTGGTCATTCAGTACAGACGTAATAAATCGGCGGTAACCTGTGCGACCATGGATTTCTGATTGGGAGACACTAGGAAGGAGGCCACACTCAGGTAAAGTGATCCACCTGTATACGTTGTACAATATCATTTACAGTGTCGTACCGGGTAGATGGTGGGTATGCTACCCGACCTAGTTAGCTCACTTGCGTCTACCCACAAGAAGCCATGCACATGTACAGTGTCTCGCGTCGAGTTATGCTGCATTGTCACGCCGCACGGTCACACGGGCTGGTCCCGGGTAGTGTTATCTGGGGAAAGACTTCCACCCGTAATCCCTCTTAAATTTCTTCTAGTATATTATTTATGTATCTTTTCCAGCATCGTTACAAGTTAGGGGCGATAAGTCTGAAGTCTTACCATATCTGGGTCTTTATACATGTCAGACCTGTGGTATTTTGACCAGTACACGGGTAGATTCTGTTAGATACGGGTATAGTGTGATATAGATCTGCTTATATATGTCAGACTTGTGCTATTTTGACCAGTACACGGGTAGATTCTGTTAGATACGGGTAGAGTGTGATATAGATCTGCTTATATATGTCAGACCTGTGGTGTTTTGACCAGTACACGGGTAGATTCTGTTAGATACGGGTAGAGTGTGATGTAGATCTGCTTATATATGTCAGACTTGTGGCATTTTGACCAGTACACGGGTAGATTCTGTTAGATACGAGTAGAGTGTGATGTAGATCTGCTTATATATGTCAGACTTGTGGCATTTTGACCAGTACACGGGTAGATTCTGTTAGATACGGGTAGAGTGTGATGTAGATCTGTATACATATATGTCAATCAATCAGTTTATTGCATGAAGGCCAGAGGCCCATATACAAAATAAATATGTATGATATGTACAACATATACAACATGCGACACACACGTTACATTGAATCTCTTCTCAATATAAGCGCGTGATAAATAAACAGAGCTACCTTATATTGTAATAGGGATGCTTTACATGAAAGTATTGAATACAGTTTTGTAGCATTAATATTTGATTGTAGCCATTGTGGAAAATACAGTTGCCTTAAAGGTCACATGCAACGTAAAACACAACTTTGCAGATTCTGATACCTTTCGGTATGGACATACCGAAACAAATCGTCAAAAATGCAAAACGGGTTTCAACAGCTGGGCTGCGCTCATAGGACGTGCGCAAGTAAATAGGTTCGCGCAGCTTGGAAGCGGGTTGTCGGGTGAATACTCGGTGAAGGCTTTGGTGTGAGCTATTTTTCTAATGTTTTGTTGATATCTCACAGGCGCGAGCTTTTTATATGTTATGACAGTAAATTAACTGTTTATATAATTTCATTTGTCTATTTCACCACACGTTCTTCTTACCGAGACACTTTCTCAGTTCGATACTTAAAAGCAATGTCATTATTTAGCGTTGACAGAATTTCTAACTGTGATATAGATATGTCGTTGTCACAGACAAAACTCAATGTCTTGTTTTATTGACACCTGTGTGTCTGCCTGCCTGTCTGCTAATGACAATATTCAATACACAGCTGCTATCACTGACCACATGCAATTTGAACTTAACACCAATCAGGCTATACACCATAAACAAAATGCATTGATTTACGGCCCGAGTTCGGTCTCTGTCACATTATGTAATTACACAGAAAGGCAGGTGTGATATTTGAACACATGACATGTTATGATGTCTGTTGATTGCAAAATGTTATACACAAAAATGAGCATGTATTTACAAAACCCATCATCTCTATATATATACACACACAATGAGCCGTGAGGGAATCTGCAAATGAACCAGCCGTTACACTTGAGTGCACACCCACCCGCTCTGACTGGGTTCGGTATCCCGGCTGCTTCGTTTCTTGGGAAGTAAACCGAAGTACACAATTTTGCACTTTCGATTTGCGATTGTACGCTTATAATTTTGTATATATATTTTTTCATAACCAGCAGTGTATATTATATGTCATGAATAAGTGATAATTGTGTTTTAATTATGTTTGATTTTTTGGTTGCATGTGACCTTTAAATAAATAAATAAATAGTGTAATTCATTCTCTACAGTATTACAAAATGGACAGAACCTTTGTGATTTTATAATAGATGAATGTCTTCCTTGATTGATATATAAATCATTTAGGCCAAGTCTCAGGCGTATGAAAACATTACGAAGCTTTTTACTACGTAAGTTGTATAGATACGACTCAGGTTCAAGTAAAGATTTAAACTCACGATAACAATCATATCTTGAATTTTCATATAAAGATGAATGCCAGTCTTAAGCTTGTTTAAAGATATCGATAGCCCTGGTACGAAAGAGTTTGATAAATACATTAACGCCGCCCAGGGTTTGGGATAGCCAAACAAATCCAAAGCCCTATCTAAACAAAAGATTACAAATACGGGTTGCCTAAGTATATTTGCCAATATCATCAAGATGGACAATCATATTGTAGGGTTTTTTGGGCAGACGATGTTCTGGCATATTTATTACTTTATACCAGTACTTTAAACAGCGAGAGTAAGAAATTATGTACAAAGGAAATCCCCCACATTCACCGTACACCATATTATTAGGGGTGGACATCTCAACATTTAAAACCCTTTACATGCAAGAAGGTGAACCTTTTCAATGGCATAAAAATCCTTATTCCCTCAAATTTCAGATGCATAAAGAAGAATAGGCTGTACTTGGGAATCAATTTGAAAAATATATTGGGTCCAACAACCCCCAACTTTGGTATAACAGAGAGCAATTGAAGTAGAGCCCTTTTCCCTCTACTTGCCAAATTGATAATGGATCTATTCAGATTTAGTAGGGTAGATTCTGTCAGAGATACGGGTAGAGTGTAATATAAATCTATTTATGCATGTCGAATGTTTTGTACCGTGTTATATTTGAGATAATGCTTTCTCAGTAAAGTATAGATTGTAGTATCTTTACCTCAAACAATGACAGCGAAGCTCAGATGAGATAATTATAATTATACAATGTCTGTGTAATAAGTAGGCAGCTTGGTTGGAACAGTGAGATCATTAGCTTAGCCATTAAAATACTAAAGGTATGTAATGTAGAAGCTATGTGGAATATATATAAATATCACATGGTGGGCCTCTTTAGTGTAGGCCATTTAGTCGGTGCATATAGGCCATTTGGTCGGTGTGTAGTCAATGTGTACACCCTATATGGCAAGTGTATATAGAAGCTATAATCGGTGTATGTAGGCCATGTTTGTTGGAGTAGACAGTATATAGTCGATGCCGTGCCCTGTTGCCTGCCGAGTACACCCAACTACCCGTGTGAGACACCATGGACCACGCCCACATCCTCACAATGGCGACTCAGTAGTATGGATAAGTTGTGGGGACATAATGTTGTTTCGCTGGACAAGTACCCTGTCGACTTACAACGAGGAAACACGATTGTAAAACAAAATTTACACCCAAACATATTCACGACAGACCAGTTCAGTAGGCTTGTGGTCAAAGCGTTGGCGGCACCTCAAGTCGAAGAATCGTGGTTGAATACCATCGATGGTAACCACCTGCTCCGATATATGTGGAATCAAGTTCAGATGCCAAATCTCACTTTTAACCATAAGCCTTAATTTAGGAGGTGCGTCAGTAGTTCTGTAGGCGTAGTGGGGCTGCACGGTATTACCGATATATCGAAATACGCTTTCAAACGATACGTGTTGCAATATTTTTATGAAAAAAGGCATATAGGGTAAAGAACATATATGAAATTTTTGTGATTATCTATGGTTTAAATTAAAATGTACCGTACACACACTTTCATTCACAACAGATGTTTTCCATCGTTATTCAATGACAAAACTGCATACTGTAACACTATATATTGTATAAAAGAGAAAATCCATGACTATGCAACCTAATTTTCAGATTGCTGTTATCAGAACCATAACATATATGTTTAGGGACTTATAATGTAGAAAATAGGATTGACATGCACAATTAATGCCACTCACTGTCAAACACTAAAGTTCCCAATACGTATCGAAATACGGGTGCCTAAATCGCAATATATTGCAATACAGTTTATTTGCCATACACAGCCCTAAGGCGTAGTAGTCTAGACCCGTCGGTCTCCTTGGACATGAGTTCGAAGGCGGCTTCAAGCCTACTCAGCTGTATTGTTATGAAAGGTAGACATCAACCGCTACACAGAGAATACAGAGCCAAATGTACATGTGACCTACATACGGCATATTGGAAATGACGCTTGCACACGTCACTACGAGCATGTATTTATTCCCATTTTTTCTACTTCCAGGCGTCAAAATGAAGAGACTGGAGGGCAGGTGTTGTTGCTGATGGTGATATCCGCCTTTGTCGTCGTCATCTTCGTAAACCACGTGACCAAGAAAGACCATGTTTCCGTTCAAAGAGATCTGAGCATGCGTGAGCTCAAACAGCTGATCAAGGAACAGATTCAAGCCGAAGAGAGATATTTGTCTCAGGACGGACAGAAACCATCCTCCCAAAATGTGGTCAACATACAGACTGACATTGTACGTCGTAAAAAATCAAAAGAAAAACGCAAAACCACTAAAGAAAACAACACGGGGCCTAAAAAACATGATTCATCAACCGACATCATTACATCTCAACGTTTACGTGGAAGCAAGAAACGTTACATTGTTCATCTATGTGACAGCAGTCGCGCATGCGCTGGTTGGGGCGACAGACAAAGGGGCGTGGTTGCTGCCTACCTGCTTGCCATTGTGACAAACAGAGTGTTTGTTCTTAATATGACGTCACCATGCCCAGTTCGCAACTTCCTTCAACCACACAAGTACGATTGGGAAATCCCCGATTCAGAATTGGTGGGAAAATCTGCCATAACAGTTGGCGGTGTTCGCGCAACAGACTACCACAAGGTTGCTCGCTTCCAGGATTTCAATAAGGTGTATGATTACGACGTTATCTATTTGAGATCAAACAGCGACCTCTTGAACATTATCAAATCAAATCCCCTGTATAAGAACAGGATTCCCAACTGGGCTAAAACATATCGCCACAGAGCTTTCAAGAACGGCTGGGAAAAACTAATGACGCCAACAAATCACATGACGAAACAAATAAACGTTCTCCTTAAAGGCGTCGATCTACAGAAACAGGGGGACCTCGTGTGTGCACACGTGCGGATTGGTAAGAACGCGCAGCTACCAAACGACTCTCCGAACCGGAACTCGATCGAGTCAGTAGATGCATTATGGGAATTCCTTGACCCGTATGTAAAGAATGCTACTCGGATTTTCATAGCAACTGACTCTATGGAGGTTAGAGAACTCGCGAGGAAGAGATTCGGAAAGAAAACTCTGGACAGTGGTGGGACAATCATCCACATTGACAGACAGAGGAAGAGTGGGTCGGCATGCGATGGCTTCGAGACGGCCATCTTGGAACAGCTGATCTTGACAAAATGTCACGTGCTAGTCGTCTCCGCAAGTAACTTCAGCATCAGGGGGGCGTTTCTAAGGGGGACCAATGACAAGCTGTTCATGTTCAGAAACGCAACCGTCAAACCTTTCAACATGGGCACATGATGGGGATTTGTGTAAAGTCAGTCTGTCCAGCTGTCATGTTCCACGTGATGCAATCGTGGGTCTTTATGCATTTTATTTTGATTCATGGTGCGAATTGAACACAATTTTCATTTCTTATAAGGTTTACAATTATTGTTAGTGAAAACGACCATTACAATTTCTGAGGTGAAAGCATACCGTGAAGTGTTATTGAAGGAAGTCCTTCAGAAAAGACGGCTTTGAACAGGTCATTGACATTTATACACGCTGTCCAGGCAGTATTGGAGACATGACGAAGAGTCCTTACATCATGTTGTATCAGGGTATTAAATACATGGAGTAAGGCAGTCGGTATTGTAAATATGTCGGTTTACAGGCAGTACTAGAAACTCCGACCCGTGTGGAAAATGTGTGTCTGTGTACGGACGTGGGTATTGCTGGGATTGTACATATATCTGTTCTGTATCATACATGAGATGGGTCTGTGTATAATGTGTATATATGTGTATATATGTGACATAAACATTCATAATGGACACGTTCCTGTGCAACTGGCTGCTGACGAGTCTCATGACGGCCCGGGGCTGGTGTATATGTGAAATTATAGCATGCTTGGAATGGTTGTATTTAAAATAACGCATACCTGTCATCTTGTGTTTGTCTCAAAGCCTCTTGACTCTAAGCGATTTTTAATTACCCAATCGGTTCTACTCGGTTGATTCCGTGAACTGGACCGAGGTAGACCGAGGTGAAAGTGTGATAGTGATTGCATTCGGGGCATTCTGTGTATATCTTGACTAACTCGTCAGTGGTGACGATCTTTGTCTCAATGGGGAAGTTTTGAAGGAGATGGGTGATTGCGACTACCACTACGACAGCTCTCCACTCCATGTGACGACTGGCTGGACTCAGTTTTGGGAAGAGCACCGCGTTGCACCATCTTTGCACACATTCAAGCCAGTGAGAACCAATGGGTATTTATTGCGGGTTATATTTTATTATAATGAATCATGTGAAATGAAACCCCCGTTTTGTTATTATTTGACATGATATAAAAACAACAACATTGCTTTCACATGGCATCGGTGGGGAGGTGGGGTAGCCCAGTGGTTAAAGCGTTCGCTTGTCACGCCGAAGGTCCGGGTTCGATTCCCCACATGGGTACAATGTGTGAAACCCATTTCTGGTGTCCCCCGCCGTGATATTGCTGGAATATTGCTAAACGCGGCGTAAAACCATACTCACTCACTCAGTATCAGTGTACCATGGTTATGTTGTACAGACAGTATCAGTGTGATAAAGAGGTTTTTTCCTAGCACACACCAATTACCGTCAACAGATGCGATCTGTTTTCAGAGGGGCGGTGGGCTGTTGCGTTTCTTTTGCCCTTGAGTACTGTTCTTATTTTTCTGCGCAATCAAAACCAGCAAGAAGAGCCTTTTATGTTGGAATGATTTATTTGAAGTCGTAGTTGATGGCCTATGGCAGGATGGTGTTGGTTTCACACCTGCAGATGGGGCATCCCTGGGAATCGTGAGCCATCCTCCCTGTTGGGCAATACAGATCGCACAATGCCATCTGGGGGTTGAAGCAGATGGCCTTCTTTGCAGGCTCGGGGGCGTCAGAGGGTTCAGGCCCTGGAAGTAGATGTCATCATCATCATCATAAAAATCACCACACCACCACATCGTCGTCGTCATCATCAAAACATGCAATCATCATTGTAGCACCCCCTGTGTGTGTGTTTGTGTGAGACAACACTCTGCAGTATTCAAGATTTACTACCCATATGGTGAAACATTACCAGTGTCATATATATTATATGTGCACATTTCAGTTTTGCCTAGCAACCATTGTTTCTGTATTTCGTCGTCTATGACGTCATTAAACAATTGAACGTGACGTCAATGAAGAGGGCCGTCACAGCTGCTTACCGTGTTTTACTGCACAAATGTACATGAATAAAATGGATGATAAAGAAATTATTACAGCAAGTGTGTCATTACGACGTATAAGAAGCCCGTGCAAAATAATGTATTATGTCGCTCGGACAATACAAAATTTCGCACTCGTTTGACACACTTACTCGTGTAATAAGCAAATGTACGATAACTCCCCAGTTTTCCCGATATAAGCAGTTCAACATCTGAATTATTCATCCTTTCAGCTCTATCAGATTTCGCAATCGTTTTGAATTTTCAGCAAATTACTATTCGTTTTAAGTTTTTCTTTTATAACTACTTACCATTTTATACCGGCCACTTAATAGGAAGTGCTGTTGAACCATTATCGGTAGCTAACGAGTACTTTAATATATTAATGATAATTTGTTATTTTCAGGCATCAATAACTGTATAATGTCAATAAAATTCAAATAAATTAAGGCTGTTTTGTAGAAGTAAGGCAATACATGTATTTGTTTCCAGAAATCATTATTTTTGATAATTTGTCAATATACTTAATCAACCGTTTTCTGATACCCATAGTAGGTACAGCTTGTTCCAGCTTCAATGAATTATGAATGTCTTTAACTCACCTCTGACTCTATATTTTTATTACATGTTATTTGTTTGCTTGCTGTTTTACGCCGCACTCAGCAATATTCCAGCTGTATGGCAAGTGGTGAGTGTAGTTTTACGCCGCCTTTAGCGATATTCCAGCATTATCACGGCGGGGGGACACCAATAAGGGGCTTCACACATTGTACCCATACGGGGAATCGAACCAGTGTCTTTAGCGTAACGAGCAAAGGCTTTGACCACTAGACTACCCCACCGTCCCTCACAGTCATATACACGTCGGATCAACATGCGGACGTCACTCGGTAAAATTATTGATGTGATGAATTGAGCTTTACATTAAATGCTTGTTTGTTTTATGCAGATTCGTGTCGTTTTTGTAATTCTTAGGGAAGCAACTTGGGTCTTGATTCAGTAGTCCGGACTATTCGCAATCCGGACGAATTTACTGAGAAACGCAACCGTCCGGATTAACGAGGCTTCACTGTACTCACAGTTACACTTGCAGGTGGGGCAGCCGCTGCTGTCGAGGACGTTGCCAAAAGGACAGTAGATCATGCAAACAGGTCCACAGATCTCACTTGGTGCGGCTGGAATTGACAGAAAAACGAAACAAAAGTAGATTTCAACGCTGTGTGTAAGACCTCTACCATTTGTCACTATTTGGGGAAGAAGGAAGAGGGGTTTCCGTCAGAACATGGACTCCGACGTTGTGTGTAAATGCACACAGAGACGGACACACACACACGCGCGCGCGCACACCCACCCGCACACCCCTGCTCACGCACACTCTTCGATTTACTCGTCTGGTAGCTGTATTTGCAAATGCGATACATGATCCGCAACCTCACCTACAAGCATCTTATACTGAGCCGTGAAACCTTTTTTGCCTCATTTTCTCCTTCGTCTTCTCCCAATCTCGTTGTCCCACAATACTCGCCTTTCGGTATTTACCGTTTCCCCACCTTTCTCTGCCTCAATTACCCAAAACTTCATCATCCCCCAAAAAAAAAGCAAAAAAAAAACAAAGCAAAACAAAACAAAACGAAAAAAAAAAACAATAAATAACGTCGAACAAACAAACCAAAGCCACCATTCTCCCCCCTACCATGTAATGTATCTCCATCTCTACCAAGTCCTTCTCCTCATTCCCTATTTTCGCCTTTTTCCATTTTCACCCCGGTCCATCTCACTTCCCCCCAACCAAAAAAACCCTCAACTCAACCCATCCCGCCCTCATCTTACCGGGGCGGTGGGGTAGCCTAGTGGTTAAAGCGTTCGTTCATCCCGAAGACCCGGGTTCTATTCCCAACATGGGTACAATGTGTGAAGGCCATTTCTGGTGTCCCCCCGCCGTGATATTGCTGGAATATTGGTAAAAGCAACGTAAAACTAAACTCACTCACTCACCCACCTCATCTTACCCCACTACACTTGCATTACTTACCAGAGACCGCGGCGACAGCTAGGAGGAGACATACAACGACCTTCATGGTTCTCCGATGTCAGAGTTAGACTACTGGTCGCTGTGATGTGTCCGAGATATAGAACTACCGCAACTACAGCTTAGCACACAAACTCGTTACACTTATTTCACCAACATGATTACTAAAATCGGTTGTCACACTTATACTTCGTAGTTTTTCCATATGATTGTCTTCTTCTTCTGGGATCGTGGGAGCAGGTTCGTGTTACCGGACTTGGTTCAAGCGAATTCTGATGTTTAACTAGTTTGAACAAGTTACTTCTTCACAAACCTCCCAGAATATTTCTTTCCAAGGTATAATTTCATAATTATAAACATTCATCATTGATGTTCTCTCATCAGAAAGGATTTCTAGATTCCTAGCCGCGAAGGCTTCATTGGCCTGAACAGCTTTGCGAGGACAGGTTATTTTTGCCCAGCCCTGTAGTGCTCCACGGCATCAGGTGCCGCTCTCACGACAATCCCTGACAAGGTAGATAAGACCGAAACGTACATGTTTTAGAATACGCTTTTATTGAAATCCTGCCTGTAACATTATCTTCTACTTAGTACATAATGTGTCAAAGAAATATTTATGGACCTTTATCTATCCAACACATCCCTTCAGCAGTATAGATTTAACATTCACACTTTCACAGTCACAAAATAATATTATACATGTTATTCAGTCTTGATCAAACTGAACAATCATCTTACAATATGTTCATTGGAAATGAATATGGTAGAGTATATCATCGAATCATCGATCACTGAATGCGTCTTACATGTGTGACACAGTTTATACTTTTTTCAAACGTCATACAATTTCTTCTTCTCACATGTGACACTGTTTATACTTCTTACATGTGTCATATAATTTCTTCTTCTCACATGTGACACAGTTTATACTTCTTACATGTGTCATACAATTTCTTCTTCTCACATGTGACACAGTCCATACTTCTTACATGTGTCATACAATTTCTTCTTCTCACATGTGACACAGTTTATACTTCTTACATGTGTCATACAATTTCTTCTTCTCACATGTGACACTGTCTATACTTCTTACATGTGTCATACAATTTCTTCTTCTCACATGTGACACAGTTTATACTTCTTACATGTGTCATACAATTTCTTCTTCTCACATGTGACACTGTCTATACTTCTTACATGTGTCATACAATTTCTTCTTCTCACATGTGACACTGTCTATACTTCTTACATGTTCATCTTCTTTTTTCTTCTTCTCACATGTGTGACACAGTTATACTTCTTACATGTCATACAATTTCTTCTTCTCACATGTGACACAGTTTATACTTCTTACATGTGTCATACAATTTCTTCTTCTCACATGTGACACTGTCTATACTTCTTACATGTGTCATACAATTTCTTCTTCTCACATGTGACACTGTCTATACTTCTTACATGTGTCATACTTCTTCTCACTCACATGTGTCATACTGTCTATACTTCTTACATGTGTCATACATGTGTCTTTCTTCTTCTCACATGTGACACTGTCTATACTTCTTACATGTGTCATACATGTGTCATGACACTGTCTTATACTTCTTACATGTGTCATACACTTCTTCTCACATGTGACACTGTCTATACTTCTTACATGTGTCATACACTTTCTTCTTCTCACATGTGTGACACAGTTCATTCTTTTTACATGTGTCATACAATTTCTTCTTCTCACATGTGACACAGTTTATACTTCTTACATGTGTCATACAATTTCTTCTTCTCTCGTCTGACACTGTCTATACTTCTTACATGTGTCATACAATTTCTTCTTCTCACATGTGACACTGTCTATACTTCTTACATGTGTCATACAATTTCTTCTTCTCACATGTGACACTGTCTATACTTCTTACATGTGTCATACAATTTCTTCTTCTCACATGTGTGACACAGTTCATACTTCTTACATGTGTCATACAATTTTTTCTTCTCACATGTGACACAGTTTATACTTCACATGTGTCATACAATTTCTTCTTCTCACATGTGTGACACAGTTTATACTTCTTATATGTGTCTTATGGTGCACACATCTATACTATCCAAAAAAGAAAAGAAACGCATGGGCATTTTGTACTTTTAAAAACAATTGTCAATATGTAACAGAAGTGTTGATAACATGATTTTACACAATTGCACAAGTAAAAAATCGGCTTTCGGAAATCGGCATTTGTTTTGAAGGAGTTTCAATGTCAAATCACTACGCAAAGTCTTGATGCTGCGAAAAGGAACATCGCCATTGAAAGAATGCATGCTGGAGATTACCAATCTTCTGTTGCCAGGCGTCTGAATGTTAGTCTGAGCACGATATCACGGCTTGCAGCTCGTTACAACCAAACAGGTATAACAAATGACCGTTTACCTACAGGCAGACATCGAGTCACCACTGCAGCCCAAGATTTGTATAGCCAGGTACTACATTTGCGTAATCGTACTGCCACGGGTGAGACCACAGCAGCCAGGGGGCCTGGACTTCGGAGGATATCCGGTCAAACTGTACGGAACAGGTTGAGAGAGATTGGTCTGAGAGCAAGGAGACCCGATGTCAGGACCGTGCTACGTTGTCACCATCGCGCTCAACGTCTCCGTTATCTAAAATTATCCACGTGGTTGTATAGACATTTCCTTCTTCTAAACTGATGTAAAAGTTCATGCACTAAAGTCTATTTGTGGAGGAGTTATACATGTTTGAAAATACAACATTTTTGCAACAGATTTCTGGCCTATGCGTTTCTGTTTTGGGATAGTAAAGTACGTGAAATACTGGGCAAACATCCAGCACGTGTGATGCTGGGTAAACTACTCTGTTGTGTGACAACTGTGATACTGTGTATATCTCTAGCACGTGTGAAACTATGTATGCTTGTCACATCTGTACTTTTAACACACATGCTTTTCTGATAGCCCCGAGAATGAATTATGACATTTGAAGGAGCAGATAAATATCTTTCCAAAGAAGTTCACCAATTGGATAAGCTGTTTTTTCGTTTTAGTTTACACTTTACATTTTTTTGGGTGGAAATGATGGATGGAAATGGGACAGTCATGTCATTTTGTGAATATTTGTTTTAGAATTCGAATATAATAACTTTGATAATAACGAACTGAAAGCGACCACTTATTGTTGTAGTGAGTGAGTGAGTATGGTTTTACACCACCTTTAGCAATATTCCGGCAGGGGACAGCAGACATGGGCTTCAGACATTGCAGCCCATGTGGACAATCGAACCGGGTGTTTGGCATGCCAGCTTATTGTTGTAACAGTAGTTCATTATGTGCATTTCATCTGAAATACTAGTATACATGTTGCCAAGAGCGAAACAAGTCGTCTATTTGAGTCAGTTTGTTATTACCGAGTTCCTTAGATGTAGCTTACTGTATTGCCCACGCTTTGAGAATACCATGGCTGTCTGACCTGCATATGTGTGATTGGCTGCTTGGAGAGCATCGCACATTGTCATGTGATTGGAGCATCTCCAGTTTCAGTTAAACTTTATAAACGTAAACACACATTCATTGCAGAATATCACACCCAGAACACGCAACAATCATATTTAGCAAAAGAACATACTTTATTTACAATCTGTTGTCATTGTATATATGAAATCCATTCATCAAATCACAAAGTTAGGACTCACCTAATGGAAGATTCATGCCCAATGACAACATGTTTGGTGTGGAAACACTGACCCCGTGGGAAGTCTTTACATATGGCAGAGGGAAGCACCAGAAATGGGCTTCACACACTGTACCCATGTGAGGAATCAACCCAGGTTTTCAGGATGATGAGCAAACGCTTTAACCACTACCCTACTGCCCTTCCTGGTCCTGTAACATTTACAAGGTCATTACAACTTCTAGTTGAAAAACACTTGTTTGGAAAAATATTTTGTATACACACATCTTATAATGCAGGTCATTAAATGCATTGCATACACGTAATTCATGTCACAGACTAGCAATGTGTCCAGTGTACTTAGCCTGGTCTCCCCTAACTTTCTCAGGCTTGTCGGATTGCCAATATCCATAATATAGAAAGTTGCAATACTTGGCATTCATACCCTTGTGTCTGAGTACCAGCGTTTGTTTGTTTGTTGTTAAATGCCTCACTCATTAGGCCACTTTGAAATTTAGTTCTACGGGTAAAACTTCGCTATTTACATTTAGAAAATGCAGTAAACTGGTTAGTTGGTTTCGTTGCTTACCGCTGCACTCAGCAATAATGCAGCTATATGGCAGCAGTCTGCAAATACTCAAGTCTGGACCAGACAATCCAGTGATCAACGCCACCAGCATCAATCTACGCAACTGGGATACAATAACATGTTTCCACCAAGTCAGCGAGTCTGTCCACCTGATCCCACCTGTCGCCTCTTACGCACACAGCTATGAAGACACAGTCACTGTCTGTGATGTTGACGGAACAGGGGTCTTTTCTCTCTTCTTCTGCTGAAGAGCTCTCTGTCCCTCTAACTGCTGTGAATAAGCATCTCGTAAACACCGGAAAGCTTGAAGTGTGGAGTAGGGGGTTTGTGTGATAGGATCAAAATACTTTGCAGGTTGGCGTGTGATTGGACAGAGTTGTTTGGCAGGTGGGCGTGGCCTCTTCTGGGGGAACACATCCTTGTATGTGCCTTCATCTGTGAAGGTAATAAATGTCCGTTCACATCGTTCCCCCGTCCTCACAACATCCACCTTCCTGTGTCCTCACAACATCCACCTTCCTGTGGGCATCGGAACTGAAGACAGAATCGTTACAGTGAGCAGTATTTCAGGTATTTCATCGGAACTGAAGACAGAATCGTTACAGTGAGCAGTATTTCAGGTATTTCATCGGAACTGAAGACAGAATCGTTACAGTGAGCAGTATTTCAGGTATTTCATCGGAACTGAAGACAGAATCGTTACAGTGAGCAGTATTTCAGGTATTTCATCGGAACTGAAGACAGAATAGTTACAGTGAGCAGTATTTCAGGTATTTCATGAGGACGGAAAACCCAAAGACAATGTGATGTAGTACCATTTTCGCAAAAGCATACTGATAAATCGAGAATCATTAACAGAAAAAATAGGGAATTAAATCTTTGATCAGCAGATGCTTGAATAAGCAAAGGGGGACAACTCATAATCCTTCCCCTTGTCTGGAGAAGTCTTATGAATATCGTATTTCTTAATGAAAATCTCACACCAGTTTGCGATTTTAGCCACAGGTTCAATACATTAGTCTTGAAAAATCCAATTCTGGATAACACTAAAAATTTGTAGTCATCACAAATGGCTAAAAAGTGATGAAATTGTTGACGCATTTGTTTTGGGCACAGATTGTCAGAAATCACTGGCAATGTTGGAGTGTTTTAAGTTTGGCGAAATGCTGATTTAAACAGTATCGTTGTTACATCACAGCATGTCACCTTCGTTTGAGAGCCTGGAGATACTCCAAGGTATCATGGGTTTCTGAAAATATGTCAATCGACACAACATTTCAGGCCACGTAGCCACTGTAAGTGGCACTGAATGACACAGGCCTTTTGCACAATTACATCAGATCATGGCCAAACATTTTAACAAAAGGAGACATGAACTTGATCGGCCAAGAGTGCCATGCCTTTTACAATAATCTCATATTACGGCAAAACATTTAAACAAAAGGAGCTGTGACCATGACGATCTATGTAACCTCTGAATATCCAACCTGTCGTCATCCACGTTGACGTCTGGCTCCGTGACGATCTCCTCCACAACAGGCATTGCAAGAGACTGGTATCTGATGATCGGACCTCGGTACGCCTGCTTTGTTACCCGCTCACTTTCTTCTTCTCAGATTCCAGACGTTCGTACGTTTCTGACAACATAACAGGTGATTCTGAAGCAATGTTTATGTCATGATAGATTGGAGACATAGTACCCTGGATAAAGATGGATGGACAGTGAGCAGCAATGGGCAACTTTCCATGGTAGTTAACACGATAGACTGGAGACATAGTACCCTGGATAAAGATGGATGGACAGTGAGCAGCAATGGGCAACTTTCCATGGTAGTTAACACGATAGACTGGAGACATAGTACCCTGGATAAAGATGGATGGACAGTGAGCAGCAATGGGCAACTTTCCTTCAAGATTGAGAAAGGGCAATCATGGCGGGAAACAAAACCAATACTCGTGTTAGAGGTAATCCATCAGACTTGTCACATACTTTTTCCCCAAACGTTTCCATCACACCTGAAAACAGCTTCGGGAAACGCCACAAATTCACATATTTCAGTAATTATTTTGACCAGCAAATTCTAGAAACAAGTAGGGCTTCCACGGGTACTCGAGCACTCGAGGACGAGTCGGGTTCAGCTGGACTCGAGTCCATTTTCAAGGACTCGAGGACTCGAAAAGGGGAGATAACTCGAATTATTTGACGTTGACAGACTGTCTGTCATGTGCTAAGCACGAGCGACCGTTAACGTCTAATATTAAGATAAAATGTAACTTTATTATCCCGGAGGAAATTCTTATACATCCAAACTGTCTCAAAATGAATATATACACAGTTCACAAAAATATACACAATAATTACATGCTCAAAACGAATGTTATTTACAAAAAAAACTGACATGATATAATTCAATTAACCACATAGGTAAAGAGGCTGAATAATTCTAGTTCTAATCATATGATGGTGATTCAAAATATTTGTTGCATTCACGAATACTTGATGGTATGAAAGACTATCGAGCTCTGTTTGTTTTGAGGGAAGGTAACCTACAGCAGCGTCCAGAAGGGAAGTAGTTCAAAATGGTGAGATCAAATATATCAACTATCAAATCTCATTTTAGCTGCCTTTTTGACAATCTGGCGCTCATAGATAAAGGGAATATACTCGAAAGACACTCCAGAAATTTTGCAAGCAGTATTAACAATTTTGAAATGTTTGTTTTTGTTGCGATGAGACAGATCCCCATACCAACATAGAAAATTGTAGGTCAACACACTTTGAATAAAGGTTTGATAAAAAACTGTCATTACTGTTTTGTCAATGCCTTGACGATAATAATGTTCAGAATCAGAAATTAGGCCAGTAACAGTGGCGTCATCTGCGAATTTCACAGAAAACACATCATTTAATGACAAGTAACAGTCATTGGTATACAAAACGAAGAGTACGGATGAAGGAACACAGCCATGTGGAACTCCAGTAGAGGTTGAGAGAAAAGAAGATTGATAGCCATTGACACTGACATACTGAGTTCTATGTACCCTGAATTCTTTAAGCCATCTGATAATGTTTTCATCAACACCTAGATTAAATAGTTTACTCCTCACACGGTGTGGCTGTATGGTATTAGTTGTTACAAGTCTGCAGATGAGAGTAAATATTATACATCGTTTTAGATTTCACTTCTTAAAATGATTAGGCAACTATCTTGACAATTGATAGACATAGAGAAAGGTAAAAAATAAAATTTATGGGCGTATCTTGATCTGGATAGTGAAAAGAGCAAAATAACCAAATGCCGCCTGTGCGGTATATCACTGCGTTTTGCAGGCAGTACAAGAAGTACGAAGAAAAAAACATTTGTCAAGTAAACATCCAAATACTGATTCTGACCAATAGGAAATGTTAGTCACATGACGATATGAAGTCGGAAAGAAGTAAGTGTTCACTTGTGTGATCGGAACAGGTCATGCAATTTACGCTATCGTTTGCTTGAAAGGTATGAATTTCGAGTACTCGGGTCCGAGTCGAGTCTCACCCCTCAAGTACTCGAGTCCAAAAAAATGGACTCGTTGAAGCCCTAGAAACAAGCAATCTTTAGTCCTTCATGAGTCTGTTAAATTGTCAAAGAAAGATTACATAGATAAATTAAAAAACACCCCCCAACCCCCAACTACCACACCATACATGCTGGTTCTAGGCACTTGAACTTAACTTAGTTTGTTGATGAAAGAAGAAGATTAGGCACTCACTCACAAAATGCAGTGCCACATCAAACCAGCTCAGAATGCCTACAGTCCTATGTGCAGTGTTTATGTCTAGACACGTTTAGCAGTGAGACAGATTCCAGGTGTTTCTGAAGTTTAAAGCAGCAGATGCTTGGGTTGGCAGCTACTGAATGGATGATGTTCACGTTTACTGTCCCGGTGTACTTTCTGGCATTGTTTCCCTACATCACGATTTATCAAATTCAAGACTGGATTAGTCCAAGGCCATTGTCACACACCGCGAAAATATAGACAGTACGAGAATAAACACCAACAGATTCTGTCAAGCACAACTGACTATGCTAAGCACAACTGACTATGCTAAGCACAACTGGCTATGCTAAGCACAACTGACTATGCTAAGCACAACTGACTATGCTAAGCAAAACTGACTATGCTAAGCACAACTGACTATGCTAAGCACAACTCACCCAGACTCTTGAGATTCAACTGTTCTGTGATCTTAGCTTCAGCCAGAAGTTCGTCCTGCGTGAGTCGTCTGACGGACGTCACATTCTTCTTGGCCGCAATCTCCTTCATCATCTTGTTCTTCTGTTCTCGCTCCTGCTCACGCTTGGCGGTCGCCTGGGACTTCACAGCTGTCGAATGGCGCAGCGATTTCCTCTCTACAATACACACAGGCCAGTGGTTTCATGAGTATTTCAACTATAGCGTAACACTGTTGTGTCAAACTTTGACAGGTCCAGTTCACAAGGGTCTGGAGGTAAAACCTTAGTCGTTACCTATTACCTAACTAGCTATTATGTTACATTTATGTTGAAAAGCATCTTAAAATATTTCTGAGGTTCCTCCTGGATAAGGGGCGGTGGGGTAGCCTAGTGGTTAAAGCGCTTGCTCGTCATGCCGAAGACCAGGGTTGGATTCTCCATATGGGTATAATGTGTGAAGCCCATTTCTGGTGTCGCCGACCGTGACATTGCTGGAATATTGCTAAAAGCGGCGTAAACCCATATTCAGTCGGTCAGTCAGTCCTCCTGGGTAAAGCATAGATTGAAGTACTTGGGTTTAGTACCATCAAGGATTCAAAGCCACACTCTCAGAATGAAGCATCTAATCGCCAGCACACAAAGTCAGCAACTGATCCCACTCAACCACTGCACCTTCAGTATGCTATGTTTAGAATTACACTTCCTCGTATCACAGTTACATTGATCGATACTCGTGCTGTTTATCACCGGATTGTCTGGTCCAGGCTAAATCATTCATAGACCGCCATAACATAGCTGGAATATAGCTGAACGCCACAATGAGCACACTTGCCCTTATTATTATGTTTTACAGATAACAAATATCAAGCAGCAGAGAGGGTTAGGGTGATCCTGGCACAGTCAGGCTGATAAGGCTCATCATCAGCTCAGGGCCCTCGCCCCCTCTACACCCAGCCCAGACAGCAAATGGGAGTGTTGTCATTATTGTAATTAATACACAATTACGCAGAAGTTTTTACATGGTCAGTGATATAAAAATATTCTGGGAAGGTGTATCAATTATTTACAACCCACAAACACTGTCGGAGTTTCTTTAAATGGCATTTAGAAGCTGGTATGATGAAAGCGAACGCTTTTATGGATAGACAACTTCTTTATCACAATCGATTTGGCGAGGATGCTAAGATCATCGTTTCTTGTTAGTATCTGCACTGAATATATTGGAATAAAGATGTTGTCTGTCCATAAAAAGTGTTCCTCTTCACTGACTGAGTTCTGTGAGGAAAATTCTACCGTTTGAGGAGTAGATCTGGACGGAAGAAATCTCAGACTTGGTTTTGTGTTTCCTCTTCTCTGTTGGCTTCTTCTCCGTTGTGTCCCTCTTCTCCGTTGTGTCCCTCTTCTTCACTGGTTCCTGGAGAGGAAGGAATGTTCTTCATGCTGTTATAAATATTTTGCCTGTGATTCTGTTGTATTGGATTGGCTAACTATGCAAACGTAACGTCATGCTATATTAACATGTTATATTTGGGATTACACATTCTCAGTAAAGCACAGATTAGTGTTGGTAATTGGTTAAAATCTCATAATTGATGATTGGTTCATTACAATAATGGTTATGGTCATTTATGAAATTTGTTAATGCACATAAAAATAAGGAAAAAAACATAGTTCTTTTGGGGCTTTTTGGCAAAATTTCACGTCTTTAAAGGATGACTAGTATGTTAGGAACATAAATTTCTTGGAGCCTTTAAGATAAATTCAATCATGACTTGAAACGAGCTTGTAGTGCTTACAAAATGTAACAGACAAAACCAACCATGTGAAAAATATTGTTAATGAAAACAAGTGTTCCAAAATTGGTTGTGTTCGATTATGAGAAATTGTGATCGATTGCTTGGTCGTCTAGTCACTACGACCAATCTTCAATTATTTCAATTAATCGGACCACCACTAGTACAGATACTACAACTTTGTTGGTTTAAGTCCCATGCGAGATTTGAACCCATCTCCTCAGAGGAAGGACCTAATCGCCAGCACACAAAGTCAGTTGTCTAACTCATTCAGTCACCATGGTTTCCACTCATGTTAAGGTGAGACGGATAAATTAGATCCTGGGTGTGGGTTTGAATCCCGCATGGGACTTAACCCAACAAAACTACTACAATCAGCATTGTAAACGATAGTTGTATAGGCATCGCTGTCGAGTAACAGACACTGCCTAAGTGTATATGCACTTCAGTCACTGAACAAAGGGAGGTAACAACATTCACCCAGCTAGTGAAACAATGCAAGGATAGTCGATACTGGTTTTCAGATTTTAATTACAAGAACTATTCTTTATCTGAAAACTTTCATATCCAAGCCCCTTTTTTACGCTGTCCTTACCTCAGAAGCCTTCGGATCCATGCCTCACTTTTTACGGAGTTTTTACCTTAAAAGCCTTCATATCCATGCCTCACTTTTTACGGAGTTTTTACCGTATAAGCCTTCATATCCATGCCTCACTTTTTACAGAGTTTTTACCTTATAAGCCTTCGTATCCATGCCTCACTTTTTACGGAGTTTTTACCTTAAAAGCCTTCATATCCACGCCTCACTTTTTATGCAGTTTTTACCTTATAAGCCTTCATATCCACGCCTCACTTTTTATGCAGTTTTTACCTTATAAGCCTTCGTATCCACGCCCCTCTTTTTTCGCAGAGGTTCGTCATCTTCCAAGTCACTTCGGGCTTCGTCATTTTCATCAATGTCAATGTCAGAATCTGTTGCCTCGGACTCTGAATCCTCAGACTGGTAATCATTGTCTTCAACTTCCTGAGAGTAAAACAAAGCATTTCATCATAACGCTCGTTTGAGTAATAGCCATGAAGACCATGGAAAATAAATTCAGAAATGTTACCATGGTTATTAAAATGTTCGGAAAATGTTGATAAACTAATCACAACAAAAATAGTCTTTGGTAATATTGCATACCATAATTATAACATTTACAATACACATTTATACATATTTGCTAAGCCTCTTTCATGCAGTTTCATTTAGTGATCTATCACTCACTGGGTACACTGCTTGTGTCAGGATTTTACAACACTAGGGATCCAGATAATTAATCATAATAATAAATGACAATTAGTCCATTTACTGACAGCATGCTCATAGTGCAGGATTATCATTATCCAAGATAACCCAAGCTGTCAAGGAGGTGCTTGAAGGTTAATAGTCAAATGACATATCCCATCGGGTACCCACTTTCTGCTGGGTGTTACAGAGGCAATTTTGAACAAATTCACTTGCCTAAGGTGAGACCACATGTGTCACATGTGCTTTGCTGTGGGGGGAGCACTGAAGTCCTAGAAACTCTCCGGAGTCAAGCTGCCATAGTGCCAAACACAGCCACACATCCAAAGACTCCCCCCGCTCAACATACCTTAACTTCAACTGATTTGTGACAAGGGCCCCGTTTCACAAAGCTCTCGTAACTTTTCTCGTAGCATTCGTACCTCCTATACTGTAACATAGGGAGTATAAATGCTACGAGAAAAGTTACGAGATCTTAGGCTTACGAAAGTTTTGTGAAACGGGGCCCTGACCTCTGTGCAAAGGACCACAGGATAACCCAAATTACTAGGGGTGTCACGATACACCAATCTCACGATACGATACGTATCACGATTTTAAGGTCACGATACGATACGTATCGCGATACATAATTATCGCGCCTTTTCATACCATTACCTTACCGGCAACGTACGCGTTCGCTGACTGGTCCATCAAAATAGTCTAGCCAATCACAAAAGCTGTTAGTTTCCAACCTATTTTTTAAGTAAAGCTAGCTACATCTATTTATCGGAGCGGTCTGGTATAATTTTACTATCAAGACTTTGACGGAGATGGATATAGCATAAAAATTTGAATCGATAAAGTTTTAAAATAGGAATCGATACACGCAAGCATGTATCGCGTATCGTATCGTCAGTAAACATGTATCGATGTATCGATACATTCGCGTATCGCGACACCCCTACAAATTACCAATTCCATGGTTCCTTACAGGGGGGTTTAAGGGTTCTGTCAAGAAATAACATAGTAGTGTGCTGTACATTAAGATGTAAGATGTATGTCCATAACTAAAACTTTACATTTCTGGCTGGGAATTTGGTACAATGAATGTTACTACTTATGAGCCCCTTTGAACACAATAAATACAGAATGTGAAATAGTTTCCAAATTTTGGTAACCATTCGGCTAGCTGTGACTGAAAGTTACTAGCCCACAAAATAATTCAGAAGCCTGAAATTTGAATGTAGAACCTAAGCCAAAGATTACAAAAGGGTAAAATACCATCAAATACAAATAACAAAACACATGTCTGAATTTCTGAAATATTTTGTTTAGGCTCAAATAACTTAGGTAAGTCACACAGGAATCAGTCCTGTATGTAAAAATAATTATTACTCAAAAAGTTGGAGAGAGTGACATATTTACAAAATGACACTATGAAAGTTCACGAGCCAGTCGGGCCAATGACTGCTGAGATTTACTGGCCCAACTGGATTTCCACGGGTTAACGAGCCAGCCGCTATTTCACACACAATAAACATATTATCTAGAACATTAAATCCCCATACAGGTATTTACTAAGAGCCTTTTTTGAATGGTGATGCAGTTCAAATCTAGAAGTAGAACATTAAATCACCCTACAGATATTTATTAAGAGCCTTTGTTTGACAGTGATGTGGTTCAAATTTAGAACATTAAATTCCCATACAGGTATTTATTAAGTTCCTTTGTTTGATGGAGATGTGGTTCAAATTTATAGAAACCCCATACAACTATTCATAAAGTACCTTTCTTTGATGGTAATGCGGTTCAAATCTAGAACATTAAATCCCCATATAGCTATTTATTAAGTGCCTATTAAGTAAATTCTGAGACCATGAGAAATTTGTAATTGAACATGGGAAATGTAAAATTCATTAGCTGTATGGGGCCAAATAGCTTCCAGGGGCGGATACAGCTTTTTGAGAAAGGGGGGGTGCACACTATTGAGAAAAGGGAGGGTGCACACTTCATTTTCACCCGAGTTCAATGGTCATTTAATAAACTTTCAGGACAAAAGGGGGGGGTGGGTGGGTGTGTGTGCGCAACCCCCTCTGGATCCGCCTATGGCTTCCCCTGAGAAGATGTTGGGAAATCATTCTCGTGATCTTTGATCACTGCTTCGTTATTTCAAGAATGACCGATTTCCACTGCTCCTGTTGCTAATAAATTGAGAAATTCTGTGCTCAGTTAATTTCCCTTGACAGCTGCTGGTAGTGCATGCCATACGATTTAATTGTGTTAACATGAGGCACTGGCGGAAAGGATGTACATCATATACTCATCAAATTTTCTCTCTTAATGTTTGTATTGTAATGTAATGGCGGTGTGTGGTCCTGTGCTCAAAGCTCAGGTCACAAATCGGTGAAGTTAAGCAGCGTCGAGCTCGGAGAGTCCTTGGATGGGTGACCGTGTTTGGCAGCTTGACTCCTGAGAGTTTCTAGGACTTAAGTCCTGCCCCACAATGAAGCACATGTGACACATGTGTTCTAACCTTAGGCAAGTGAGTTTGTTCAAAATTGTCTCTGTTCACCCAGCAGGAAAATGGATACCCGGTGGAAAAAGTCATATGACTATAACCTTCTAGCTCCTAACAGGCAGCTTGGGTTATCCGGGGTAATAATGTGCTGTGCCTTGATTGTTATCGCTATGAGCATACCTAGTGTGGTGTTTGGCGCTATATAAATGGACACATTATTATTATTATTATTAATGTTTCCCATATTATGAGAGATGTAGGTTGGCATGACATACAGTGGTTGGCCATAACTGAGTCATCATTTGTGGAATTTCCATAGACTTACATGTTATTTAACTGTTGCAAGAATAATTTTCATAAATTGAGTAGAAGTCATTTTATTTTGATATTTTGCAAACATCTTGGAAATCATCTTCAGCTACGTGTACATAATTTTCTTTCATCTTTCCATGGATTAGCTATCGAATGACACCTGATTAAGCAACATAAGTACAACTTAATTTTAAACCATCCCATAGAATGATAGCCATGTTAAACCTGATTGGTATGTCAAATATAAGTTGTTTAAATAGTTGCAGTTTTATTAATAATCATTGGAAAATTGAATGGAAATTATGTGTATGTAGCTGAGATGATTTCCCAGCTGGTAGATAAGTATTGAAAGCAATTTGACCAAAACTAAATTTATGAAAATTATTCTTGCAAGAGTTAATTAAGATGGGAATTTCACTAATGACGATTCACTTATGGCCAACTACTGTATGTGTGCATTTGTACTCGACATACCTTCATGGTGCATGTTAATTTCACTAATGACGACTCACTAATGGCCAACTACTGTATGTGTGCATTCGTACTCGACATACCTTCATGTCATTGCATATTGGTACCCTAGAAATTGTACATGTCAGTTCACACACTGGACATTTAAAAAGATTACTCAAGAGCAGATAAAACAAGTGAAGAAAAAAGCAGGTGGTAAACAATCCAACCAATACTGTCTAGGTTACCATGGTTACTGGGTGAACAAACATCAGACATGTGAGATATCAGAGATATTGACATACTTTTCACATTTACAAGATATATAAACATAATGAATTATAATGGAAAGCTCACTTCAGTGTTTGCGTTTGCCTGCTTCCAAGACATTCAAAACAACTTCAGGGTTATACCTGAGCTTTCACTGTTTCAGTATAATCATTGGCAATTTGACCAAAAAACACATACCAGTGATCACTAATAGGCTAATTTTCAAATTCAGTTCAACAGTTAAATATAAGATATTTACATTTACAACATACAGTAAATGAAGCCGAGAATGGCAAACTCTTCACGTGTCAAACATAGAGAGATTTACGAAGTATGAAATTCTTAGCGGTCATTTCACCAATTGTGCTTTGCCTAAATAATATTATATATTATTTAGCACTTTGAGCATCCACTTAGTGATTGGATATAAATTTCAGCATTATTATCATGTATTATTATATCAAGAAACAGAGAACTGGGGGAAATATTAATCCTTTTGGCATCCAGGGACTAATAAAGTTGAGATGATTTGGGTGATGATTGTGGAAAGTTTGATTTAGTATACTGTGTGTTTAGTCTCTGCAGAAAGGGTACATTTCCCTGTAGAACCAAAAGGGTTAAATCTCAGCTGTAATCAGCTACACATGTCCATTCTTCCTTTGTTAAACAATACCAAGCACATGGTATTTGACAAATACTGTTTGTGTTGTATGGCATGAAGCCAGCGTAGTGCTGCTCTGTAATATACTCAAATTAAATGATGAAGTTCTTGCTACTGTGCATTGAGCTGCAAATCACTTAAGTCTCTGAATTTTTGGTCCAGACTTATTTATTCACTGGCTGGTGTAACAAAAGCTGGAATATTGTGTGACAAGTGAGTATCAGAGCACTGAAAGATTCTGTGCAGGAAAGTGAGTAGTCTCACCTCTGTGAAACCCCCGTAAGTCGTCTTATAGAAGTCATCTTCCTCCTCATCGTCAAGGAGACGAGCCATTTTTGCACCAGCATTACTCCTCTTCTCTCGGGTTGCTGCCATTGTTACCTGAACAAATGCTGAAAATGAAGATTTCTCGTAAGTATTTTTTAAGCATTCAGCTATAGTCTGTTTGCAAGAAATATATACAGATGAATTTCACTTTAAACAAAAAAGTAAATCAAATTAAGTGAAATTAAGATTGCGAATCCTCATAATTTTAACTTGCCAAATAAACATTTAAATCTCAGAATTTTATTCAACTTATGATGAAAGTTGTTTAACAAACAATCATTGATTCAAATCGCCATTTGTATTACAAGGGGGTTAGCGCAATAGTTGGAATAGTGAAACAAATGCACGTGCGGTTCGTGATGAGCGTGAACTTAGACCAACCCTACTTGTTCTTGTTGTTTCATTTAAAGTGCATTCCCCCTTGTAATACAAACCAATAATAGTGATTTGAAACTATAATCGTTTGTTAAACAAACTAATGTTTGACAGAAATATATAATTAACTTTTCAACTTGCAGAATACAAGATTCATCCTCGTGATCTCTGTAGACAGGGCTCGGTCTTGTGCTTTGTTACTTGCACTGGTGCAACACAATCTTACAAAGTGCAACCTAGTTATTAGTCTAACTTGCACCAGGTGCAAGTCACTTTTTGAATGGGTACACTTCTTAATAAAACATCTAAATAATGCAATAGCGTATTTCTTTCAATCCATATTGCAATAAAAGCACTTTGCAAATGGAATTTAGCTGGTGCAACTAGGTTTTTTATTTTAAGTTGCATCTGGTGCAAGTAGGTTAACATCTCTTAAATCGAGCCCTGTTAGAGCAAATGACGATAGTGTTGTGTTTATTCACGACTGTCAAGCAACCACCATGCGTGGGGATTTTACAGGAAACTTTAATCACCCTGTGCTGTGTTCACATCCAAATTCCAATCGAGTTGGTTTCAAGGTGATTGATTTAATAAGGGTCAAGCGCTTCACTTAGTTCAAGAGACAGTAGGCTGTCTCTCGTACATGTTACGTCTCTCACTGATGGGGAGGAGAATAGCAGAGGTAATCTGTATGAAGGATGGCTACACAAGGTATTCCATGCCAGTGGTGGTTCATACAATCACAACAATTAATATTGATTGACAACCGTGTGACGATCAAATTGGTGTAGATATGGTGATCATACCTTCAAGCACTGTTAATAATTCTCTCTAATTGCAAGTAAAGTGTTAGCAAATTTGAATTTCAATCTTGTATTTGTAATTTTCAGAGTAAAATATGTCAGTTATGATTTAACAAGTGGCGAACATATTGTAAATTTGTTTTTGCAGCTCTCGGCTATCAACTTGTCAAAGAACACAGTTGTTTGTGTCACATAACAATTAAATTAGAAACCATATACCTTACTCCTTTTCAAATAACTGACGATAGCAACAAGTGGTGCATCAAGGTAATGCTTCTCGTCTAGAGCAGAGGTTAGACTTAAGTCAGTGAATGAAATTGACAAGCAAGCTTTGGCCTTAAATTCTAGTTTAAAACCTCAAAACTAGCCGAGAGACATGATGCGGTCCCATACACAGGTTGGGGAAACCTACCGATAAGCCTATAAATTAGTATTATAGGCCGTTCTGCCTATTTTGCTATAGGCGGATCGGCTATATTTGAACATTTTTCTAATTATTTCATAAATTATCAATTTCCGCACGAAATGGTTATATATGATCATAAAAATGAATAGCTTAAAGATGTCCTCAGCTTGAAAAAAATAATTTTTTGGACAAAATTGACATTTATATCATTTTCAGGAAAAGATGTTTAATTAAGAACACAATTTTGCATAGATTTTCCTTTTGAAAACTAAAACTGAATATCTATGTCATTAATTTTTAGTTAAAATTGTCAAAAATATTATAGACTTATATTTAATTAGAAATTTCAAAACTCCTTTATTATGTGATGAACATTCACAAAAAAGGGTTTGAATGAAAACCTTAGGACATTTATGATTGATTTGATAAATATCATAATTATAGAAAATGGGCAGAACTGCATAACCCGTTTGGGCTATCACAGGCCGATCGGTTGGTTTCCCCAACCTGATACAGTCCACTCGAGAGCTGCAGACAGTGCAGTGCGGTTCATCGGTGCATCGTGATGGGTTAGTATCGCTGCTCTGTGCTACCCCAAAACCACTGAGATCGGAACACTGCAGTCAACATATAATAACACGAGCTCTTGCAACACACCTGTCTCCAGCAATCTTTCTATTCAAGAGATATTTCTACAAATCATCAACACACCCAACACAACACAACCAATGCCGCCACCGGAAGTTTACACTTTCATTCCCTCCACAAACAAAGAGTAATGCTGATTATCTCCCTTGTCTCGTTTTCCAACAGAGTCCCGAGCATCGTACCCCGGGGACAAAGCTGAGGAGAGTCTAGAGCGTAAGGTCATGCAAGAAAACCGAAGACAGTTTCTTGTTTTTATTAAAATGGCCAACACACGAGATGTACAATAAGTTTTCCCCAAAACTTGTTTGGGTAACACCGATATCTTCCTTAATTGGCATTTAGAAGCTGGACTGATAAAGTGGAACACTTTTTATGGATAGACAACTTCTTTGTTGCAGTAGTAAAGAAGTTGTCTATCCATAAAAAGTGTTCAACTTTAACACCGATATGTTTAATACAAATGAACACACAACTCACTGTGAGTCAAAACGTGACCTTAATACTAACCTAACTCTGTGGGAGCGGTGGAGCAGCCTAATAAGCGTTCGCTCGTCACGCCGAAGACCCGGGTTCGATTCCCCACATGGGTACAATGTGTGAAGCCCATTTCTGGTGTCCTCAGCCGTGATATTGCTGGAATATTGCTAAAAGCGGCATAAAACCATACTCACTCACTCACACACTTTATAATGTGATATAGAAACTATGCAGTATTATAACTCACTCAAATGCGAGTTATAATCTACAATCATAACATAACTCACTATTTAAACTGTAGGTTACCACCATATAACATATACACACATAATAGATAATGGATACTGAAATTGAACATACTTTAAAGTATAGCCGATATAACTACCAATTGCATTGAGTGAGTTTTACGCTGAACTGAGCGCTATTCCAGCTACAGTCAAGTCTCGCTAATCCGACATCGTCCGCTGCACATCAAATTGTCGGATTAACGAATATGTCGGATTATCGAATTCTGAGTACAGATCACGTTCATGGTATAAAACAGGACAATTATGATTCATATGAAGCATGTGTATGTGTGTATGTGTGTGCGTGCGTGTGCGTGTGTGTGCGTATGCGCGCCGCGCACAATTAGTGTTGGGAATCGACCTCCAAAACCATAATGGATTATCGACTTTAGATCACAAGTTTTACAGCTAAACAACTCGTACTTCAAAATATTTGTGAGTGTGAAAACTGAGAAAGTAGAACTCCAGATCTACGTGTCGACTTCGATGCAGAAATCAGAATAGATCGAACGCCTAAAGATCTAAGAGTAGATGTAACAAGTATCAATAAATCTATTATTTCCAGCAACGCCTCAGTGGAGTAATGGTTAGAGCCTCCGCCCGGAGAGCGGAAGGTCGCGGGTTCGATCCCCGACCGCGTCATACCAAAGACGTTAGAATGTGGTACTTGTTGGTCCCTGCCTGTCGCTCGGCATTAATGGGTACAACAAGGACCGGTCGGCTCGGAGTCAGTATAATGTGTCTGAGTGGGATATTCATGCTTAACTGCGGCATGGTATCTCAGTGAGCTAGCCCTTCTGCACGTCATCATATGAGCGAAATATTCTCAAGTACGACGTTAAACCCAATTTCACCCCACCTCACCTATTATGTCCAACTGTGTTCGTGAATTCGATGAGAACTGAGCCTTTCGCAAATACAAAAATGTTTTCTTGAAGCGATCACGTGCGGAGAAGCAGGCATTTATTTTGTTGACAGTCTTGTCAGCCAATCAAAGTGCTTGTTTTGATCGTATATGGCGGCGGTCTGTAAATAATCGAGTCTGGACCAGAGAATCCAGTGATCAACATCGTGAGCATCGATCTGCGCAGTTGGGATACGATGACATGTATCAACCAAGTCAGCGAGCCTGACCACTCGATCGCGTTAGTCGCCTCTTACGACAAGCATGGGTTACTGAAGATCAATTCTTCACGGGTAATTGCAGTGAAAAATGCATGCAGTGCAAATTCATTCTGATATTGATTGCGATTTGGCGTCGGTCAATGTGGCCAAAAACAAATGAGAATGTGCTCAAATGCAAACAGGTGAACTGTCAACGGGAGTGTCTCTGCAATGGCAAAACATGCATGCACGTGCATTTCGGGAACTTGGGGATAAGACTGCACCCATGGGTATAAAGCTGACGTTGCTAAAAATTGGTCTGTGTTCCCCTTTTGATTCGGTATGGTGCGTCGACCTCTGAGTACTGAAGATCGTGGAACAGCTATTGGGTGGCGTCAAGATGGAGTTAGCTTCAGAGAAATTGGAAGACGCCTGCAGAGGTCCCCATCTGTAATTCGTCGTCTATGGGAACGATTTCAGGCAACTGGAAGAGTCCAGGATCGATCACGCCCAGGTAGACCAAGATCAACGTCAAGGGCTGATGATCGCTATGTCGTTTTAACGGCGTGAGGGGTTCATCACCGCTAGTGCTCTACGACGACGTCTTCAACAGGCAAGTTGAAGCAACACATGTGAACGTCAGCACACAAACCATTCGGAACCGTCTTCGTGTCGCTGGTATCCACAGTAGACGTCCTGCTGTGGGACCAAGTCTTCTTCCGCATCACAGACAAGCTCGGCGTGCATGGGGTCGTGCCCATTTGCGTTGGAATCGCGTTGGAATCGCCAAGAATGGGGTCGAATGTTGTTCACTGACAAATCCCGCTTCAGTTTAATGTTCCGGGATTGCCGCGTTCGTTTGTTCAGAAGGCGCGGTGAACGCTTCCGGGATGCCAATGTCTGGAAGCATGACAGGAGGGTCGGTGATGGTTTGGGATGGCTTCTGTTTGCCCCACAGGACTCCCCTCTATCACATTCAAGGCAATTTAAATGGTATTCGATACAGGGACGAGATTGTTGGACCCTTGTGATTCCGGCTCTTAACGCCATTGGACCTGGTAGTGCACTTCAAGATGATAATACCAGGCCTCATCACGCACGTGTTGCTACTGACTTTCTCAACCAAAGAGGTGTTCAGAGAATGCAATGGCCGGCTTATTCCTCTGATCTCGCCCAAATTGAACATTTCTGGGACATTTTGGGCCGACGTGTTCGAGAAAACTACCCTCATCCTGCTTACCGCCAACAGCTGGTTACATTTCTTCAACAAGAATGGCAGGCAATACCACAAGCATCACTGCATTTGTCAGATCCATGAGATCTCGCTGTGACGAATGCTTCCAATACCATGTACGGGTCTCTCTCAGTTCATCTCAAATCTAAAATAGACAAAATTGTTAACACTGCAAGTAAAATCGCTGGAGTCAGATTTGAATGTTTATCATCAATATATGAGCTGCAAATCGTGAATCAAGCGGTCAAAATCATATCTGACCGTACTCACTATTTAAATTCGGAATACAACCTTCTCCCTTCAGGCCGCCGATACAAAGTTCCAATTGTGAAAACTAAGAGAGCCCGTACATCCTTTTATTCCAAGTACCATATCTCTCTTAAACAAATGTGAAGATACCTAAATCAAAGAATTTATGTACACATGTATATATGTTTGGTATCTCTCTAATGTGTCAGTAGCTCTGCTGATGTAACACAAATTCCTGAAAAGGCATTAAAGTATTATTCTATTCTATTCTATTCTATTCTATTCTATTCTATTCTATTCTATTCTATTCTATTCTATTCTATTCTATTCTATTCTATTCTATTCTATTCTATTCTATTCTATTCTATTCTATTCTATTCTATTCTATTCTATTCTATGGTGGGCACACTCATTATTAACAGAGTGTTATGACCTGTGACTTTTAAAATGACCTTCTTCCCTTGAAAATCGCTGTACGGATATTGTTTGATGATTTGGTTGTAACTGTTATTGAAAACGGAATCATTAAATATCTTACTACATGTGTATTTCCAATTATACAAAGTTTCCGAGTTGTTTTTAAAGTTAGGAAGATATTCTGGAAATATTGGGTGTCCCATACTTGTTTGAAGGAGTATATGACTTTTCGCTCAAGATGAAGCCAGGAGTTTTCGTTTGTAACGAAACTTCGTTCATTTGTTTCCTGAGCAATGTGAAATATACTGAGGAACAAAAGTAACTATACCTCTCAGATGAATGTATCTCATGTTTTGGATTTTCAATTGAAAATATCTTAAGGGAGCGATGTTATATGAGTCTGCACTCAAAGAAAACTACTTCATGGTTTTATTTTTTAATAATGTAATTTGATTTAAAAGTTTAACAACTTTAAAATGCTACCTCACTGCTGTATGAACGTTTTTGAACCGCGCAAGTTAAATCGTGTAAACGTCGAGGCTTTCGACATGATTAAGTAATCAACATATAGCTTACACTTTAAACAATGAGTTCTATCGCCATTAAATAGTTAACACTTTCAAAATAGTATTTCGTTTTGTATAAACCTTGTTTCGGACTGCAATGTAATTCACGATTTTTCACTTTGCGACACACATACATTATAAATACCCTTATGTTGGCGTGTTTTAAGATCAAGTTGTCTATCATATATGAATAAAATATTGAAATTTTTCATGAGGCTAGCGAGATTATTTCGAATGTACCTTGAGCTTCCTCAAACCCATAATACCAGGATACAGTAAGAGTATTTGCAACGAAAGAGAATTTAGATGTTAAATAATTGGATAGACAGACACATGTTTAAACATATCTAAATAATTTTTGCCTCATGACCTTTTTTATGTGAGGATTCTGACATATTTTAGTTTAAACGCCAATATTAATGTCAAAATATTTTAACTCAGGCCGTCACGTTGTCTTACGTATTCTGTGCAGTTCCCGGAACGATTTTCATAACGCCAGCAAATAGATAACACTGTGACGTCAATGGTATTTTGATCCACCGCAGTTACCTCCCTTAGGTACAGACACAACCAGCGATACGGTCGAAACAATTCGCAATCTCATACGAACGCTGCACGTGATTTATCTCGCGAGGTGTATTGGAGGTACACGCGAGTATATGGGACGGTTTTTTATGCAAGTATGGATCATATGACGGGAGCGTGTTGCATGTACCAAACCCTGTTTAGATCTGATTTATTTTGTTGACGAAGTATGGATGCTTCTCACACACTGATGTTGAGCAATCAGGTCACTGTTATGTCACAGACGGACGAGGTGAAGCCAGGGAAGTTGAAGTTGGTGCTCCTCGGCAACCAACACGTCGGCAAGACGTCGTTGTTGCAGCGGTATGTGAACAACGTTTACAACACGACATATACTCACACAAGAGGTAGGCCAACCGATTCAATATCACTAGCATATCAGATTCCCATGTACTTCCGGGTTAGAATTGGTCTTTAACAAGCCGTGCGTGTCGAAAGAGACGACTAACGGAATCGGGTGGTCGCTGACATGTTTGACACATGTCATCGTATCCCAGTTGCGTTGATCGATGCTCATGCTGTCAATCACTTTATTGTATGAGTGAGTGATCTGACCTGAGGACTTGGTGTCAAACGACCGCGAGTGAGTATAGTTTTACGCCGCTGTTAGCAATATTCCAGTAATATCACAGAGGAGGTCATCAGTAATGGGTTTCACATATTGTACCAATGTTGTACCGATCCGGGCCTTTTGTGTTCGGGAGAACGCTTTTACCACTGTGCTATCCCATCTCCCCTCAAACAGAAATTGCTGTGTCCCCAGCTGTGATATTGATGGAATATTGCTTAAAGCGGCGTAAAACTAAACTCACTCACTCACTTAGACTAACAACTAGTCTCTGAAATGAACATATTTTACTGAAAAAAGTTCATAGTAAAAAAACAAACAAATATAATGAAAAGGAGCCCTGAGACTTTCTTCATTTTCAGAAGCTGAGGAAATCTAGACTTGCCACATTTTCTAGACTTGTGTTGGCTTTCTTGGATATATTTGCTTCAGGGTCTGTACGAGAGACTATCACTCACTCAAACTGAAAAGAATCACAATAGGAAATAGAACAGCACAGCTGTTCATAGTCACTCACAACACGAGGCGTTCCCAGGGCAATTCTCATCAGTTTAGATCCCCAGACAAGGTGGATTGCATGGCCATGGGTGGTGGATTGGATGTCCGGGTTCATTGTGACCGCGCCGTCCGTGTTGGTTTCACCGGGGTAACATATCATGATCGTACATGCGGTTTACACGCTTTGTAAAACCATCGTTCATCGCGCTGTAGTTTGTTGGTCGTAAGAGGCGACTAACAGAATCGGGTGGTCAGACTTGCTGACTTGGTTAACATATGTCATCGTATCTCAATTGCGTGGATCGATGATCATGCTGTTGATCACTGGATTGTCTGCTTCAAACTCGATTATTTACAGACCACCGTGCTTTAGCCATAATATTGTCTCGCCCAGACTCAAAACCATACAGCTGTCATATGACAGGGTTATTGTTGATAGACTAGGGTGCCAAGTTGCACATCGGTTATAAAAAAAAATCACCGGCCGGCTCCGCTTTGCAATAGTGAGGCAAAGTAAATCACGCAAACAAAACTATTGATGTACACAAAAAAGAAGTCTTAAAATAAACAAGAATAACCAAGCCAAAACTGCAGTGGACAAATTTAATATTTGTTTGATAAATGTAAGGTTTTAAAATTAAAACGGTTGATAAGGATAATATCGATATTTCTGGTCACTAAGCTATTTGAATCCTGGTAAACTAGGGCGGTGTGGTAGCCTAGTGGTTAAAGCGTTCGCTCGTCACGCCGAAAACCCGGGTTCGAATCCCCACATGGGTACAATGTGTGAAGCCCATTTTTGGTGTCCTCCGACGTGGTATTGCTAGAATATTGCTAAAAGCGGCGGAAAACTAAACTCATTCACTGCTAAACAAAACTTGGCTCCAAGCCCTGGTGATCGGCCTACCTTTGGCAGACCTGTCAGTGTTGTGCTCCTAGTCTGACAGACCTGTCAGTGTTGTGCTCCTAGTCTGACAGACCTGTCAGTGTTGTGCTCCTAGTCTGACAAGAGCAGATTAGCTTTACAGTATCTTGTGCTTCAAAAACCTATAAATTATACATGTTTTTAAACAAGTTTTATTGTTATCGGACAGAGTGTCTTTTAAATAGGTCTGTTCGTAGAATATGTGTGAAGTTCATTTATCTCTATGTTTGTCTCCAATTATAAGTGGCTGAGGGGATGGTGTAGACCCACCCAGGGTCCATGCAGGTAGCAAAGGCACTGTAGGTCCCCAGTAGGGTGACTTACCTTCAGTTGATCTCCAGCCCGTTTTATATATTGTATTGTCCATAAAATTTGTTTAATTTTACAGTTACATGCTCATGCTAGTTTTAATTCTCTATCTGTGAAAATCTAGGCATTTTACTGTCCCTCGTGAACAGGTTTTCATAGTTTAATTGCGTCATTATGAATTTATAACTTTTATGTCACGATGTGGCCGATGTGACTATTGATCTTAAGTCACTCACTCACTTTTAAATATGACTTATATAGCACAAAACTACTACATGACCGTCGAGTCATCGTTATATTTTAACCCACTCACTCACTCATAGTAACACGTGCCAATCACCGGGGATCGTCTACGTGAGGAGGTTTGTGTGGGACGACGTGATGTCACCCTGACTGACTTTGTGAAGTAGTTCCTACCTGAATATTTCGTGATGATGTTAGTTAAATCTGGCAGTTGTCACAAACCTGCAACTGATTATTCACAGACCACGTGGTCGTTACACTCAAATACTAAGTTGGGCTGGATTCAGCGCACCCCGACTGCGTGAATTGTTGTTTTTAACATCAACCACTGGATTATCTGGTCCCAACTCCATCGTTTACAGGCCGCGACTGCCGTGTTCGAAATAGCTGCTGGCCCGCTAGCCAAACACTAGCTGATTGTGAATCGGGCCAGTAATATATTGTCAAAGCTATCCCGACTGGCTAGCTGAAAATCTCAGATAATTTGTTCTTTATTTAATGCACAGGAATAATATTAAGTCAGTTATTAAAATTTAGTCCGCAAAGGTTCCATGATATTTATTATATCTTGTCACAGGAGGATCGCCATATAAAAAATGTTAATAAAAGAGCAAAGAGGCTAGGAACTATTACAATACAAATGTAACGTTTAATTTGATAGCATTTCGACATTGATACTTGGCAGGACCAGTGACGTATGATGTAAGCTAGCAACATTGTAACTTAACTAGTCCTCCTGGACTGTGACTTTTCAAAATTAATTCACACAAAATTTAATTCACAGCAACCCTTACTTGGGTCGAATAAATGAATCGTTGGTCAGGCTCACTGACTCGGCTGATGTACGTCTTGGTGACTAGTTTTATTTACATGTATAGATGCTACTGAATCAGTCACTGGATTGCCCGGTCTATACCTGGTTATTTTCTGGCACCGTCATTAAGCTGAACTAATTAATGTCGTGTTAAGCTGCGTGTTAGAGACGATAAACTAGGGAGCGTCAGTAATGTACTCACTGATGCCCCTCTAATGACATGTGTTCACGATATCACGGATATATCACGTGCACCCTGGAATTCCCCCGGTGTGCCGGAACAGCGATTGTTCTAAATATAACCATATGCACATAACACCGAAATTAGCAATCGGTATTTACGTGAAGTAAGCAGAGTTTTTATATGTTCTTATAATAAGGGATTGGACATTTAAACCGAAATAAGCAACAGGTATTTACGTGCAGTAATCAGTGTTTTTATATGTTCTTATAATAAGGGTTGGGCATTTAAACCGAAATAAGCAACAGGTATTTACGTGAAGTAAGCAGTGTTTTTATATGTTCTTATAATAAGGGATTGGGCATTTAAACCGAAATAAGCAACCGGTATTTACGTGAAGTAAGCAGTGTTTACGTGAAGTAAGCAGTTTTTATATGTTCTTATAATAAGGATTGGGCATTTAAACCGAAATAAGCAACCGGTATTTACGTGAAGTAAGCAGTGTTTTTATATGTTCTTATAATAAGGGATTGGACATTTAAACCGAAATAAGCAACAGGTATTTACGTGAAGTAAGCAGTATTTTTATATGTTCTTATAATAGGGATTGGACATTTAAACCGAATAAACAGGTATTTACGTGCCGTAAAAACCCGTTTTAATGTGTTATTTTTTATTATAACCATTGGACACGAAATCGAAATAAGCAACTGGTATATGTATTGAGTAAGCAATGTTTTATATGTTCTTATAATAAAGAGTGGGAATGAACCGAAATAAGCAACTGGTATATGTATTGAGTAAGCCATGTTTGATATTATAAGGTCTAAAACTACATCCCCACGCGATGATCTGGGTTAGAATTGGGCTTCAGCAACACATGCTTGTTGTCAGAGGCGACTAACGGGATCGGGTGGTCAGGCTCGCTGACTTGGTTCAAACATATCATCCTATCCCAGTTGCGTTGATTGATGCTCTTGTTGTTGATCACTGGATTGTCAGGCTCAGACTCGATTATGTACAGCCTGACACCATATAGCTGGTATATTGCTGAGTGCGGCGTTAAGCAAACCAACCAAGCACGGGTCTGATGCTGGCGATCCTGCAGGAACGTAAGGACAAAGTCAGGAGCCACGATCTCCCTCCGAGCACTGATAACATTAATCCAAGGGATGTAATAACAACTATAATATACTTCCCATCAAAAGTTTAGATTCGCTTACACTCACAATGTGTTATGTTATGTTGTGTGTGTGTGTGTGTGTGTGTGTGTGTGTGTGTGTGTGTGTGTGTGTGTGTGTGTGTGTGTGTACACATCGAATATATACATATTGTATATTACATCGAATATTGATTTCTCCACTAACTTGGGGGAACCGTCTACAAACCTTATGCAGATAAATTGCACGAGTATCATGCATCAAATTCCTGAAAAGCATGTGCAAATATGGTGCTTGTGAACAGCTGAGTTTTGGTGTACAGTCTTGTTAAGAATTCGCCAATTTCCACTGATTTTTATCATTTATTGAACTCATGACAATAATCTTTTCACCGTTACGTTTTACAAATACATCAGTTCATGTGTAAACAATACCTTTAAACAGTAGGAAGTATTTTGAAAAATTTAGTTGCCTGAAGTAAGTGGTTGTCTTTAAACTAGTGAGTCTAAACTTTTGATGGGAAGTATATGTAGAAATTCATTCTCCCCTTGCCTACACTTACTGTCACATAAAGTATGAACTATGTGTTTTGACAATCATTATGAATATGTCCGTTCTGTGTAACCATTCCACAACCAGTCATATCCGG